CAAACAAGCCACAAGATAGTAACTGGTGATTCTTGGGAGAAGAGTGCAAGATCCGAAAATATGCCGAGCGGGTGGGTCAAGTCCTTCCACTGCAAATCCAGGGCGTTTGACGACGTTTACCACCCCAACCCCAAGCATCTCTTACCCAGTTCTAGTTGCAGGAGGTCCTCTCAAACAATCAAAGACGTCGTCCAAACGGCGAACCAGAAACTGAAACCACCCAAGAAATCTAATTCCAAACCTACACCTAAGTGCCCCAAACCAGAACCCACTCTCAATCCTCCTCCGCACCCGCCCCCGCCGCCGACTAGGATTGGCCACAGCAACTCTTCGCGTTCTGCCTGCGCCAACCCTGACCCGTTTCTAACTGAGCTACCCGAGGGACATCCTTCGAGGAATGTAGTCGAGATAATCTTCCATACGAGCTGGAGTCCCAAGGCGTTCGTGGGTCGGATTGAGATGATATTCAAAGTGCAGAATGGGCCGAGAACCGTGGCGAGGTTTGAGGAATATCGTGAGACGGTGAAAGCACGTTCCGGTTCGGGTCCGGATGGTCTGGCTGACGAGGAAAATTCGCGGTGCGTCGCCGACGGGAACGAGGTGATGCGTTTTCAGTGCTTGGGTCCCACGTCCGGTGCCAGTGGAGTGAACAATACTTGGTTGTTTTCCGCCGGAAAAGGTTCTGCTATCTGTACGTTCTCCGGGAGCGGCGGGGCACATGAGAGCGCTGGAGGCGGGAGAGGGAGGAGGGCGATGCTGGTCTGCCGAGTCATTGCGGGTCGTGTGTCGAAAAGGGTCGGGTTCGGATACGAGTCGCTCCGAGATGGACGAGTCGGGTATGACTCAGTGAGTGGGGACAGCGGAGAGTTACTCGTGTTTGACCCACGCGCGGTGTTGCCTTGCTTCCTTATTATTTACAAATTGTAAAAATAGTGCAAAAATATCTTTCTTTCTTTCTCTCTCTCTTTTTTTTTTTTTTTTTCCACATCTTTTATTTTTTATTTCACTATACTCGCATATCATGCAATTTAAATTTAGATACTCTCAAATAAATAAAAAATTATTACTAAATTATATAGATGATTCACTTTAAGCTAGCATTTTAATATCTGGATTTTTTTTTGAAACAAATACGAAAGGGATCGAATTCAAATCGTTGCCTTGAGGGTGAGGAAATGCATTTATGCGTAGTCTGACATCATTAGACCCAAGTGCATTTTAATATCCTGTTTAAAATAAAAATTAAAAGATAAATTAATCCAACATCTACTTTAAAAAACAAAGAAAAAAAAA